GAGACTCGGGTGACGAGCAGTCCTATCTACGAACATTTCAGGTAAGAAGCGAACCACTAGCAGAAACGTTGCTTCGCTTAACCAGCTTAAAAATTACCTTACTATCAAAGGTTTAATTATTGCACGGAGAAGTTTGAACAAATTTTTATTTTCTTAGCAAACAAATAGTCATTAAATTTGTATTTTGAACACCATTGCGTTTTTTAAACTCAAGTTTACCGGTCGTTTAATTTCAGTATCAAATGAAGACGCAGAACCCTTAAACGTCCTGTGCAATGTGTCACTGAAATTCCCCCAGGCGTTGATGCTTATACGAAGAGCGATGTACAGATTTTTATCAATTGGCGGGCTAAGCAAATAGGTCGTTCTAAAACAAAACATACACTACACTCGTTGACGAACCTTCACCTGATTGCTAACGGGACTCATCTGTCCCGCTCTGCCAGAGACCCTGACAGCAGCTCTTACGGCTGTCAGGGTCTCTGGCAGAGCGGGACAGATGAGTCCCGTTAGCGGTCAGGTGAACGTTCATCAACGAGTGTCAATATTCCCTGACCTAAACTGGCTAGACAATGAGCCAGTGGCTCAATGGTTAGAGCGTTAGACTTCTGATCAAAAAGGTCGTGAGTTCGAAGATCGAGTGGAGCACCACTTGGGACTACGTATGACTGGCTGACGACGGCTAACAAGCCAGAAATGGCCGTTCCAGCCTCCCTTGTCTTTGCCGGCAATACTATTTGTCTATACACTACACACTGAACCCAGAAGCAAACGTTAAAAAAGCAAGAGATTCCTTTTTAGAGTTTTCTGCAAAACTTGCATTCTTGGTGATCAGGAGAGCGGGGATGGTTATGAGTAAGGGCCAGGATTCTGTTAAGGGGTAAGGTTTTGATTCATGTCAACTGTGGTAGTTAGGTTAACGGTAAGGCTAGAGTTAAGATGAAGGTTACCGGTTAGTTTTATGGCAAGGTCAGTATTAGGGTTGACACTACATTACATTATATTACTCGTGGTAAGCGAGTAGTCGTGATTCATTACTGTTTCTAATACCAACAACCGCTGTGTTCTCACCCGCAACAAGTAATTGAGGTGCTTTTTAAGTTTTCTCTGTATCCATATATACCCCATCCTATTGTTACCAAAGAGGAGTTCGAAGGCGTTCGCCTATCTTTCCCTCAATAAACTGATACTGAGACGGGAACGTTCCCCTGCCTTAAATTTATCGCAAAACCATCTATTTTAAATGGGCGGGGAGGTCCTATTCCCGTGTCCTGTTTAGGTGGCCAGACAAGTCATTCGTACCCAAATACTAATTATATGCACGATGCCAATACTAGTACAATCCTCAGTGAAAGCAAAGGTTAAGGATTTACCTGAATTAAATCCGCATCGGTGAAGGACATCAGCATGTCGGAGGTGATGCGATGGTACTCAAAGCTGGCAGCATAATCCATAGCATCGGCGGCTTCAAGAATCTTGTAGACATCTGGATCGATAAGTTGCACCTGTAAACACAAAAGTACAGTAGGCAATAGAATTGCGCCACTTCCACCAGTAACCCCCAGGCGATGCTAGTGAGGACTTGTCTTTGCAGCTTTAATGGAACTCAAGATTGTTTAAAATGTGACCGAAGCTGAATGAGAGTGATCCATACCAGGGGCTGCCGGATCCGATTCCAAAGGCGCACCTGTACGGCTCACTCTCTATTTTATGCCAGGGTGGATAAGAAGACAATGACTGAAAGTTGCTATGGAAACCCACAAAAATACAGATTAAGCAGTGTCAATGACATGAAAAGAATTGTCCAAATGATTAATATTACATCTAGAAAGTCGGGAAGATGTATCCCTTAAAACTAAACATGACTGATGACAACACAGAAGTCAATAAGGACTTCTGATGGGGGGAATAAGGCTGGAAAGGAACTGAGAGCGTTTAGAATAAATTTGAACAAGAGAAACTTTCGGATGAAACGAAATTTAGATGACACCACTAAATGTAAGGGCTTAATAATACAACCTCCAATAATTTACGAATATGCCAAAATCTCCACAAATGTCCAAGAGGCCAAGTGCTTTCGTGCTACTTTCCGCTCCTGACCCCTATGTCAATTTTTATTGCCAAACGTTTTA